TCCCCCCTTTCATGTCTTATTTCCTCATGTTTTGAGCTATGCATGTGAGCACTTGCATTGACCTTGATTTGGCCTTTTAGCCACTGAAATCCAGTGGATTTTCAGTGGCCTTGATGTGTCTTTGAGCTCCAAAATCATAGAGGGGTGACCCTCTCACCCCTCATTCTCTTTACTAGCATTGTTGGCCTTCCAAAGGGACCCTATTTTTCATGCATTGAAGTCATGTTTTAGGCCTCATTCTGAGGGTTTTAAGGTCTGCCTAAGCTCTTCAAGAGCCCATTTTGCCGTATTTTATGTCTATGATGCATGTATAGAGCAACCCCATTAAAGGCCTTTCAAAGGGGCCTTTATTTGCATATTTCTGAGACTGATTTCAGGGCCTATTTGATGGGTTTTAGGGCTTTCATAATCCATTTCCAGAGTTTTTGTTGCCATGCTAAGTGTTCTTGTTGTATGTGCTTAATAAGCCCTTGTATGGCCCTCTAAAGGAACTCATCATTTTTGCATGTATTGGTTGCATTTTAGGGGTTATTTGGGCATATTTTGACATGTTTTATTCACTGTTTTTGGCTGGTTTGATGAGTTCTCATACGCTTCATATACATGCCATGTAAACCATGCTTGCTAGCCGAATTTGCATGCTGTTTTAGTCCATCATGTTAGTAGTTTTTGGTCATGCTCTAAACTAGAAGTGTGCATGTTTTGGGACTGCCTTGGCTCTGTCTTTATACTTCATGGCCAAATAATGCTTGCTTTGCATAGTTACAATTCAATACATGTGCCTAACTTTGAGTTTCGGGGCTTATTTCATGCATCGGGTGCCATATTTCCATGTTTCAGGATCATTTAGCATCATGTTTCAGTGCTGGAAATTACATGATTGTATGCCATCTTTCATCCCTTGCCATGCTTTGGTAGAGTGGCATTTTATGCCTTAGGTTCGGTCCTCGGTATACGTGCACGTGTGCACGCATTTCGGTTGTCTCTTTTCCATCTAATGGCCACTGATGTGAGTGTGGCTGAGGTCCACTAATATTGGTGTAAGTCCATCGTGCATTGTGTATGCCATTTCAATCCATAGCATTGCGTATGCTAGGTTGCATCTTAGAGCATTGTGTATGCCATGTTACATCACGCACATTGTGTATGTCATTTTAGTACAGAGCATTGCATATGCTAAGTTGCATGTTAGTCGCATTGTGCATGCCATTCCATTTGCATGGTGTTTGGAATAGGGTTTAGTCCAAGCACGGGAAATGAGGGGCGTTTCATACTCCAAGTGACGAAGCGTGCCTCGATTCCCGGTCCCCGACGTTCTTGATTATCTATGATAGAATTGTTGGCTTCATATGTTCATACCTACATTCATGTCATATTAAAATGTGCAGTTCGGTCTCTCGGCCATCATGCATCGAGATGCATGATTGGTGGATCGAGAACCGTGGGCCACACTCTCTAGAGCTCGTGCAAGGACGGGGAGGAGTGGTCGCGCACACATATGTTGAAAATACATTGCTTTCTCTCTTTGGTTTTCACATCAAAGTGGTCGGCCGACCAGGTTTTCTGGTAGGCCGACCACCTTTTTTGGTTTTCACCATGAGGGGTGGTCGGCAGGTGTTTCCCAAGCAAAGAGCTGGTCGGCAGTCTTCCCCAGGTGGAGTTTCAGCCTCCTGGAGCTTTGTGTAAGTTTCTGAAATCAGCTGCAAACA